AGTGATGCGAACCGGGTTCCGCATGGAGCCTGCTAAAAGCGACATCCCATGCCCCTTGCATCAATCTTCTCAATGCAGGCTTCTTCGTGGTGAGAGTGTTAATCGTTTCGGCAAACTGATTGTACGACTTCCCTGCTTGAAACAATGCACGACCGTATCTAGCCAAGACAGCGTTTATATCGTCCACAAATTCAACATGATGCAAAAGCAAGCTTTCAAAATCAATTTCTTCATCTCTCAACCACCCCTCAAATTGAGCCCAGTATCTTTCACGCAGTCTTCCGGTGGCTGCCAGCGTCGGCCTCGTCTCCAGCAGTGGCTCATTAGCAGAACGTTCAGCTGCTCGAGCAGCTTCTGCAGCAGTGTCGGGGACCATGGCGCTCACACATGGCGCGAAGCACCCACAAAGCAAGCACCCAAGGACAGCGAGCAGGGCAGCAAGACAGCCGGGAAAGAGCGGAGCCGAGAAGAGAGAGCGGCACGAGATGGAGAATGAAGATGCCAAAAGCAAGAAGTCCAAGAGACGGCCAAAATCCAGCCAGAAATCCAAAAGCGGAAAATCCAAGAAAGAGCAGACTAGAGAGTGACCCCGGAGGGCCCTCCCCTGGAAAGCCAAGCGACGAATCGAAGTCCATAGGAGCATAGACGAAAGCTGGGCATGGAGCAAGGTGTTCTGAACCGTCATAGTCAAGGCCCTGCTGGGGCGGCTGAAGGCGGTAAATGCTGCGATCACCAAAGTCAGCAATGGATGGACCGATGATAGCCAAAACAAGCCGAATCCAATTCGATGCCCACCTTCGAGTAGGTTTGAGATTTGCTATCTTCCGAAGCTCCACGTCGGAAAAGGCCCCTCCAGTGAAGCACGTCGATCTCCTTGAGATAGGCAAGATTGATGGAGGCAAGCTGTGGTGGAATCAGGGGCGAGAAGGGGCGACCAGCCGAAGTGATGGACTGCATTTTGTCCTGAAACAAGGTCTGCGGAGGATCCTCGACGAGGGAAAGAACGCAGGCCAACCCCCAGTCTCCGGCATCGAATGCACTCTGCTCTAATGCCATGACTCCAAGTGCCAAATACTCTTTGGTAGCATAGAAGTCTCCTCCGGCAGCAGCATCCATTGCATGTGCAAAAATCCACATTGTGAGACCTGCTTCCTTCTGCCCACGAAAGCCTCCGTACCTCTCTAAGTAGGTCAGGAGTGACGGTGACTTCTTCTGAATCTCCTCCTCGCTTCTGGGCAGAATTGATGAAGGGTTCAACCGCCTGAAGATCTGCTGTTGCAGGGCCAGGAAGAAACCGGATGCCTTGCCGCTAGGTCTTGCTGCAGCTTCTCTCTTTTGATAGTGCCTCTTGTGGAACTCGAGGCGGCTCCTCCAGAGTGATAGTCGAAACTGAGACCTCCTCCTTGAACTAAGTGCGATACCAGAGCATTGAGAGCCACTGCCTGATGAGAGAGGATCTGATCTGGCGTCTCCGGAGGTGCTTTCACTGGATCGTAGGGCTCGTCTGATGGCCCGAGACCAAGTCCAGAAGTCATCGGGGAGGCGCGAGTCCTCGGAGGGGGCCCCAGAAGCTGAAGAGCTTTGGATGCTGTTTTGCCCACAACTGGAGTCTGGAGGCCGAGAGAGACGGCTGGCATTTTGGGAACTATTCTGGAAGGCGCGATGGCCTGCAGCCCTGAGGCATGACCGGCAGAGCGAGTCTCGGGCAAAGGCATAGGATCTCGTCTCACTTCCCTCTCTTGGCTCTGCTGTGCTGCTGCCAAAAGGGCAACTTGAGCTGAGAGGCTGGAAATCTGCTCTGCCAACACTGCTGTAGTCAAACGTTTCGCTGTGGCCTTCTTGGGAACGGCGGCCACCTTGTGAACCGGCTCTTCTCGAGCACTGTAAAAATGTGTCCTGGCAACGGTCTCACTTTCGGCCCAAGTCATTGCTAGAGCCAACAGTTCAGCTGCTGCAGGAATTGCCTGTGGATTCGCCTCATGGAAGCCCAACACCTCTTCCAAGGAGTCAGTGATAGGGTCATAGTCCCTGAGAGCTGAAAGTATGTCGTTTGAGAAGTCAATCGCGGCTACTTCACTCTTGAAACCAGCAGCCACTGATGCTCCGGTGAATTCGTCCTCGAAGACCATATTGACCTCAAACACTCGAGGAGGCCCAACAAGGGCATCCTCATCAATAGGCCCCGAGGGGGACAAAAGGCTTGACTTCAAAAGGCCCACCGGAAGAGCTAGTAGCATGCCCTTCCTCCGTGCAACTAGAGGAACCACAAAGGCCTGAAGCTCAGTGCCACTCTCTGTCAAGTCCTCAGTGAGGTGAAGGACCAAAAGAGAATGATCTGAACTGGCGGCTGCAAAAACTATGGATTGCTTTTCCAGCGCCATAGTGGAGGCACCGGCACTGAAGCTCCCGCACAATAAATATGCAGTTCTGTCAATGAGGGCAGCTTATCCAACAGAACAACGTCCTGGTAGTTCAGGATGAGCTTCTCACAATCTGCCTGTGTTGCAACTCGAACCAAATCGAAGCCAACACCCTTACGAAGCACCCACTGAGTAGATCCAGCAACCAACGGCTTGTATGTGCTTGAATGCTCAGTGTGACAAGTCCAAACAGCTCTAGCCCAGAAACCTGCTCGAAATGCTTCTTTCGCTCGATCCTCTGGTGAGGCCTTCGATGAAGAAAGGTGGCGACGGGCCAAATCCAAACAAAAATCTGGAGTGTCTGGAGGACCTTCTTCAAATTCAATCACCACCGGCTTCTGCAAGTAATCAAACGGAGCTCCTGGAATATCAGCCCCGTCGACCACCAACTCCCAAGCTGTACTGCTAAAGGTTGGCGCGGAAGACGTCGACCTCTGTGATCTGTGCTCCTCTCCCCTGCTCTTCTGTCAGGTCCCGGGTGGCCAGAGTGAGCTCACGGATGGCCTGAGACAACTCCTGAAGATCTCGCCGCAACTGGAGCTGTTCACTCATGCACGTAGGCGTGAAGCCGCCTAGAAGGTGCTCGAGGTCCAGGGCCTGAAGGAGGTGGCTCGCGAGGAACCTGATGGAGGAACAAAGGGGCAATGCAAGTCCAGAAAATCCAAAAACCCAAGAGGACGCCCACGACGATACCGGTGGCCAAGCCGGCAATGAAAGGAAGTAGGGCGGAAGGGTGGCAATGGATAGGGCAAGCAAAGGAGCCAGAAAGAGAGGTGAGGACGGCAGCCCCGTCCAGGACAGCACCCCAATTAAACATACACCCTTGAGGCTTGAGGTGCCACCACGACATCAAAGTTACTGATCATACATATATTTATTTATGTACACCTGTCCAAACTGTGGGCACAACCATGCTGTTCTTGCAGGCCACGCCTTTCAACATGAAACATTTGGGGTTCTGGCGAAACAATGCAGAAAATTAGAACTTCCCCACGGTAGTTGCATCTCTGAGACTGACATCAGAATAAAGCAAGCAGGTAGTCGACACTGAATACAGCTAGAGTGTCTGCACAATTTCTACGTCTGTAGACTCTTGCTCAGTTTATGCGCACCCCTCTGCTTGGCAATATGTCCAACACACTTGACAGACATGTGACATGAAGGGTTCCCTTCGAGAAGTATCGACCGCAGGAGGCGAACCACTCAAGCCAACATAAGGAATCTTCGGTGCAAGTACCGGTACGCAGGCTTTCACAGGAAGCTAGTCCCAGGATCTCCTCAACACCCTTGGACGAAGCACTCTCCAAAAGGCTGTTAACAACCTGGCGGGCAAACTGCACTGGTACTGAGATTGCTCTGCTTGAAAAGGAGAACACCGTGCCGTGTCTTCAATCTCTTCAAAATCTTGAAAAGGAAGCTTTACAAGGAAGGGAGCACCATGCCATACCAGCCTTGTGGGCCTCGACCACAGGTAAGGTTTCCAAGAAGCATTCGACTTGGCCCTCCACGTCATCCTGACCGAAAGAGTGCGCATTTGTTTGTTGTGCCCACCACGACCCGGTGCCAACAGGCACACTTCGATGTCAAGCCTCGAGTGCACTTCCGGGGAGCAACTCGTCATCATCTATCAGTGCCTCAGAAAGAGGTTCGGCGAATTGGCAGCGCGGGATCTGGAGGTGCGAGGGACATCACGTAGACAACATCCAAACATATAGCAAACAAATAGCTCTTGCACCAATAGTGTCAACTTGTAACAGTAGACTTCGTTGCACAGGCTGCGACTTCATTCCATTTGACCATTTTCTCTCCTTTGCTCCACACCTCATCAATGGCCAGCGGTGATATGGGCTCAGCCTCGCGGATTCCAAGATTGAATCCAAACTCAGCAAAGCTGAAAGACCAATACATGTGTTTCTCAGCTTTGCAAGACCTTCCGCTTGTGAACAAAAGATCCGAAAGCGGTTTGAGAATGTGCAAACCGGCAAAGATTGCCGAAGGAAAACTAGATCCAAACTGTTTAGGCTTCTGTCATCTCCAGCCACGCTGATATCAAATGTCCTTGACTTGTTGCCTCATGCTGGCTCTGCACAGCATTCTTATTGGCGTATCCAGGAAGAGCTTCCAAGCTTCCAAATACTTGCAACAAAAAACTCTTCACCGCTCCATCCTCTCTGGAGTGACAAGAGCTGCCTCAGTTGCTTCGGCCGCTTCATCATCAAGTCCGAAGGATGGTAGCGGCATGGCCGAGGCAGGATATTGGATCCCTGTCTTTGCTGGGAGCCTATCTTTGACCTGACGCAGTAATAGCATGTCTTGCACTTAGAACTAGAACTTCTCTTGCAAGGGCAGCAATTGTGGAGATGTCTATTTTCAGTGAGTAGCTAAGCAAGGTGAGAAAAATGGATGGCTGAAAGCTTTCCTGACTCAAAGGTAGCGTTTGGCTGCAGACGGCAAGTCGCAGGTGATGAGATAGCGGCGAATCAGCGACTGACAGAAGCACAAGTGAGCTCTTTGGTTGCTATCGAGAGACCTTTGGCATCTTTCACTTCCACTGGGCAAAGGGGATACGATTTTGCTGCAAATGCTCGGCCATTTTTTGGAGCGAATCGTGTCTACTGCTCTGCAAGTTAGCACCCTGAAGCTGTCAAGCGAAAACAAGCTCTTGGGCAGAAACGGAATGACAAACGATAAAAGTACCTGTCCAGAATAGCATGTCCTATTCTCGGCGCAAGGAAGAACCGGTTGTCCTGCCCGTACAGGTGTCCTATGCAGCTCGGCTCAGAAGTAGTCACCCTTGCCAAGTCCCTTGGCATTCATAGGCCTCTGCAAAATCATATCACTTGCATCAAGACAAAAGTCGGTTACTTGGCTACTTGGCCACAAACTGCTAGCCCGAGCAGAAAGCAGTGTTTCAGCACGTTTCAGCCTCTCTTCGAGCTCATCAGGTGTCATTTTCGTAGTCGCCTTACAAGCTTCCGAGTGGCCGACAGCGTCGCTCAACACGCCCAGCGCATGAGTCACTTGAGACGAGCCAAGTCAATCAAAACACATATGGCCTCATATGATACATCATATGATACATCATATGGCCCATATGGCTCTTGAGATGGCTCTGCCCTTGATTCGTTCTATGATGCTCGTCTCTTGGCGTCCCCGCGTATCTTGGCCGATGATCCGCGTCAAAGGCCACTTGAGGTGCCGCCAGTGCAAAGGGTGGCGGCTTCACCGGTTCTCGCTCCTGGACGCCAGGCAAAAGACTAGTCAAATCGGTGAGACTTACAAGTCAATCAAAAGGGGAACTACGGTAAATATATATATATATATACGTGTTCCATCATCTTTAAGATTTCAAGCTAGTAAGCTGTAGTGTGAGCTGTAAGATTGAAAATAGACTTTTTGGGGGGGCATGAGAATAGACTTTACAGTTGACTCTCACAGACCCAGCCTCGATCAGGCCCTCTTTGTAGCGTTTGAAGTGCGCGTGTTCTTCTTTGATTAAATCTCTTGCCTGCAGCGAAATGCCCATTGCAAAGCAGGACGTGCTTTACAAAATATTGAGGATCAACTGTCTATCATATCATATGAACAAACTTGGTGCTTTTCCACCGGGCATTCGCTTGTTGAAAGGCCAAATTGGAAGAAACATCTCCAGCCTCATTTTTTTCGCATTGCATTCAGCAATTTTGCAGAAAGCCGTACCTTCTTGGTACGGTCGTCATACTCAAACCTGCCATGTGCGAGGAAAAAAACGGCCGGGCTGGACATACATATTTTCAAACAGACATGGATCAACATCCGGATGTGACCTGAATCTTGCCAAAGGACGCCAATCCTAGCATCTGTCCTTGAATCTTGCTAGAGATGGGCCCCCTGTTATGTTCGCTTGTTTGTGGCTCCCACTCAACCAGGGAAGCCCGGCTTTTCGATGCAAAACTGCCGCAGCTTCTTGCCTCATTGTGCTAGAGGAAGTCATCGTGTCCTACATCCTAGTAAGTCCTAGCAAGTGTTGTCTTCTCCACCACGCTCAAAACGTCGATTACAGTAATCAGGCATGGTAGAAGCTTCATGTGCTCCACAACAAGAAAGCCTGCTTCACAGCTTGCATGGGGGTCAATCCATAAAGAACAGCTCCCACATGTCTCTAAGCTGGCGACCAACTGTCTTTTCAAAGCCACTTCCAAAGTAATGCCCATGAACCGTCGCTAAACGTTCTAGTGGCACTCCTGCGCAAGGTTGGTGATGAAGCAAATTCTGAAAGGAATCCGTGGCCCGTCAGAAGTGGCCCGTGTCTGCACTCAAGCCGCTTCAGAGATGTGCCTACCACACCAGCAGGGTAAAGTTCCTCGGTGCAAGGAACTGCAATTGCAAAAAGATAATTATGGACGATGTTCAAACCTCCAACCAATTTCATGTTTCCACGAAAGTCATCACACACCAGGTGCCATATTTTGCAGCCTGTTTTAACCACACTCCCATCTTAAATACAGTATGTCATATGTATCGTTCCACTGATCGTGTAGGTCCGAGTCCGAGAAACCATTGAGTCGAAGAGATCCACAGTGTTGGCAGCCGCTGCCTCCTGACCCTCGATGAATTCAGGATGCTCTGTGCCAAGCACCTAAAAGTTCAACATAATTTCTTGATCGAAAAAACATCTGCTAAATCTTCCAACGAACCCATTGCACAAGCATGTCTGAAGAAGATCAATCCTCAACCAAAAATATCAAAAACTCTTTGTTGGTTAGTTCAGCAAGTTCTGCCAAGAAGCCATAGCATTGGCTGATGTGCAATCCTCCACAAAAATGTCGCATCTGCATGTTTCAGCTTGCTTTGTTTCTTTCGATCTTGTATTGAATGAGTCCCAAAAAACTGTTTGTTTGAGGCAAACTTCCAGAATGCAAAGCAGGTGAACTGCTCCTTTATGCGAAAGTTTTGCCAGACCAACTGATGTCTCCGCTCTCCATCATCCTAGATACTCACAGTGCAAACACTGCAAACGAAAGCATGAGCTCCAGACCAGGCATAGTAGCAGTACCATTGCAGCAAACAACAAAAACAACCGAATGAAATCTGCTGATCTATCTCCAGGACCCAAGTGGCAGTGCCGCTGTCGCCCGCGAGCCGATTCAAAGGCACCAATCTTTCGCCAGCAAGCTCTCGGCGCAAGCTGGCAATTTCTTGCTTCTTGTTCCTTGGGCAACTGCTTTCTTTTCGTCGAACATGAATCACCAAGTGTTTGGATCGAACATGAAGGCCGCAACAACCAATACCGTGACACCCCCTCCTCGCCATTGCGCCCACGATAATGGCTCATAAAGCTATACTCTCTCTTGCGAGACGAACCAAGTGGCAGCAGGCGGCACGCAAGTGGATTTGACTCAAAACAAGCCTGCAAGGAATTCACATTACACAAGTTCTTTGTGGTAGCAGCAGTGCCTAAACTTTCTTCCAATCAAATATGTTCTCTCCAATTTCTTGGCCAGTGAAACGAAGCAGGAGTCTTCTGGCGGGCCGGACTGTTCAGCGCGCTCTGAACATGTTTCAGTTGTAGTCGTCCCCGAAGCATGTACTCCAAATATCCTGCTCTGCACATCCACAGGGTAATTGTTTTGTTGAGCACAAAGAAAATGAAAGTACAGTCAAACTCAATTGGTTCAAACGAATGCAAACAATGCGAAGTGCAACAAACCAAATGCATCCTGGCAAAAGTTGCTTGGAGTTGGTGGAGGAGCTTCGTCAGTTCGAATGAGATCACGAGGGTCCACCAGTGCCCACTTAGCGTGCCAAATGTATGTTCAAAGAGAAGCGTGCAGGTGCTTGGATTCTTTTTGTTCTCATTGCCAAGCACTAGTTTTTTGGCGGCTTGTCAACGCACCCCAAGTCCCAAGAAGTTTTCTTCGCAATTGAGTCCGGGGCAGGATCAAAAAGTCGTGGCCCACGAGAAGCACAAAGAGTCGGCTCCTGACAGTGCAACTTCCCAAGCGTGTTCTCAATCTGTCTGTTCTCAACATAGGCCGAAGCAGCAAACACGCTGTTTGTCGATTTGTGGCTAAGCCAAGCATAATGATCCCACACTGAATTCCCCCTACAGGAGCACCTCTGCAATGTTTGAAAGGTTTCGCCGAAACTCTTTGGTTGTCCTGCAGGCAGGCAGTGAAGGATGGAACTCAAAGACTCAAGGACATGCATAGTACTGCACACTCCTTTTGGTGGCGATAAGAAATACGTGGTAAACCTCATTCTGTCCCACACGACCCCATTTGCAGGTGGAATACTCTGAGGCTTCTACCCACAAAACAAACGAAAGCAGGGTTGCAATGCCAACCAGAGCACCCAGCCTCAGATGAAGCAAATTCACAATATATCGTATGGCTACTAGTAGCGTCCTTGCTCCTAGTAGTATGGCCAGGAGCCCCTAGTAGCTTCTTGTTCCTAGTAGCGATGCCCTTTGTTGCTAGTAGCGTTCTTGTTCCTAGTAGCGTATCTGAGCAGAAAAGTGAATTGCAGCTGCGACCAAGCAGCGCAATCAATGCATAGAACACCGGCTGAAGGGCACCGCTACTCACGTGGATCATGCCGTCCACGGCCAACTGAGAACGAATGATGCTTGAAGTCGCTGCACTTAGCAATCCTTGTATTGCTGTTGCCTCGAAATTCTCGCTGTTCAGAAACCAGAACCTCAAATGCATCGCACATAACGCTTCTTCACACCACATGTAACACGAAGGGACAGTCTTTCCAAAGCAAGAGATTCGACACTGCAGCCCTGGTACAGTACAGGAAGAACCATCATCGCCAAACACAAGACCTGGTGAAACGTTCACGACTCCAAGGTTACGCAAAACAGTGCCTTACTAGTAGTAACAGGTGCCTTACTAGTAGTAACAAGAAGCTAGTAGAAACAAGTGCCTCGCTTCTAGTAACAAGTTTAATTAGAATTCAAATTAGCAAAGGAATCTACTAGATTGTGAAACGTTCACGACTCCAAGGTGCAAGAAAAGCTCGGAGTTGCAAAGCAATTGATCTGCAAATTCAGCGCGCGGCCGAAGTGACGAATCCAAAGAAGAAATGATAGTTTCGCTGTCCGACGCCTCGGAACTCCATGCTAAACGACATGGAGCGAACACTGCAAACACCACAAAGCCATCAGGTACAATTCTCACGGCAATAAATACAGCTGAGCCACAATTGTTGACAAAGGGGCAATGATGGTCGTACCTCTCAGGCAAATTGACGGATATGGGACATGTGCGAAGCATGTTCAGACTCCTCATGGTTCTTTCAGCAGCTTGCACACAGAACTTGGTAGCTCACCGCATCACGCAGTTGTCACAGTCGGGACAATGCGAGGAGCGGGGAGGCCTGATCCCACACTCTGTTCGTAGTTCAACATCCAACCAAATAGGTCCAAAGTTCGCACCTTACGATTCTGCATGTCCTGCACCATCGGTACCCTCGACCTGCAGATGTAATGGATGAGGAAAGCCACTAGAACCATACTTGAGAGAGGAGGGGGTGAACGAAAGGTCGCAGGCAATCACAAGTAACCCTGGTAGAAGTCCATGACGGCGTGAACCGGCGCAGGGGGGATTTGATCCAGGGGGGGGGGGCCCCCCCCGACGAACAGAATCAACTCTTACAGGACCAAACTCAATGGACAATCCCAACTCCTGATTGTAATACATTTTTGCTAAAGCAAGGAGAACTCAGGTAGCTCAAGCTACCTTTCTTGATTCAGCACGCTAACCAAGGCACTTGTCAGCTCCTGCGGCAATCTTCCACCTCCACCCCTGGCTAGAAGCAATCAAAAATGAGCCATGGACAATCATGGACAGGAGTTTCACTGCCTGCCGTCCAACGGCACCGAGTCCGTACAAAGCATATCCTCATGACAATGTATCATCGTATGCTGTCACAGCGTGATGGTTTTTCTGCAACATCACACTCAGTACCAGGCATATCCAAGCTGTTCTTGCAGCTGCTTTGCAGTCTTTGTTGCAATGACGACCTTGAAGACTACTTCACACTACAGAACTCCTGTTGATGCAAATGAGGTTTACTCCAGGATCACTGGCCTCTCGTCTCGGAATGATGCCCGGATCGGAGCAGCAAGTTGCCAGCAAGAACCCAGTGGCCATGACAAATACCTGAAAACCAGTTCCAAAGAGGATTCAAGAAAAAATCACAGAGTACTCTTGTCTACTTGGAAAGTGCATGTGTGTAATGAGGTTGTGTGCAACGTTCTGCCGGGCTTTTAGACAGGGTTCACTGTCCGCATTCCCAAACAATGCTCATTCTGCAGGCGCACAGCCAACGTTGCAAGCGGGAGAGCATAGCAGCCTTCTTTCCAAAGATGTGGAAAGACCTCCAAGTTGTTTCGTTGCCCTACACCAGAGAGTCAGTCCAAGGCTGAGGGAGGCTGACTGAGATCCTTGCCCAAATGAAGTAAAGAGAGCACGGCGCCAAAATGCAGGTCCAAACCTCACCAAGAGGCAGCTTTGCTTTTGAAGGCCAGGGCTGAGACGCCTGCATTCCGAGGCCTTTGCGCAAAGGTTTGGGACTGAGCAGTTGGGAGTGATTCCCATTTCAGTTTCACCACCTGGCCGCAACACTGTCATCTACTTTAGTAGGAACATCGTTGGTTTAAGTAATCTGCTGGCCTGTCATCATGGTGCCCTTGCAGAAAAAACTTGTTCCGAGAAGGCCAAACCTTGACTCTGCAAATACACAAAAACCAAAAACCATTGTAGCACAGCACAGGACTTGAAGATATTTTTCAGGCTCCCAGCATTGTAGAGCCTCTTTTTGGGACGCTCAGCCTGCAACAGGTCTTGTGCATTCTAAGCCGCACCATAAAATAACTTGGATTTGCTGATGTACTGATGTACTAAAGCCTGAGGAATCTCATTGGCGGTGCCTCAGCAAAAGGACAGTTCTGCAATGTTCTGCAAAACCACACACGGACCGATTGCAACAAGACCTCACACAACGCACAAACAAGAAAACAAACGCTCTATCCAAATGCCTGTCAGTGGTTGCATCTCCAAGTCGATGGAATCTTTCGCACCTGTGGGTTCATAGCTCAGTCTTATGTTGAAGCCCAGTCTTATGTTGAAGCCCACTAGCTGAATCCTATTTCCAACCAAATCATCCTATCCTCACCTTCGGAGCCTTTTCCAAGAACAGACGGTGCTGCATTCGATGGTGCTGATCGATTTGCTTTGGCAGCTCCTCCCAGGACCCGTCATGACTGGTCTGAACCCCATACTTCACACCCATCGCCTTGCTTGGGACTGAATTCGTGATTCCCTCCTCAAGCCACAAGAATCAAACGGAAGCAATGGTCAGTGTTGGACGAAGCTCAAAACGGGTTCACTCAGGAACAGGCCAAAGGAAAAGTCATCCACCTCATCCTGTCAACCAGCTAGCTGCTTTGCGGCTGTTGCAATAGATAAACTACGGCCTCATACCCAGGCTGCATGGCCTGACCGCCAGTCTCTCCAAGCGTCATTGAAAGCGAAATTGAACAAAACTCGACAGGCCTCTTTCCCGTTATCACGGCTGCTTGTAGCCATCTGATACTGCCAAGATATTGCCAAATGTGGCTTTATATAATGCTTTATGGGCCAAGGTTACAAACCATGCATTCAAAGTAAATGGTTCTGAATAAGTGTTGAAATGGTTCTGAAAAAAAGAATGTCTGTCAAACAAGGATGATTCAGGCAAAGAATCAAAACTCAATCAAGTAAACTGTAAACAAACCCAATGGAACCATGATCTGTGCGACCTGATGAACCAAAGGTCCACAAAATGATCACCAACTGGCACATTCAAACCATGATCCTCGAAACGGGAAGGCTTTGAACACATAAACTGGTAGATCAAACAGGGCGACAAACACCAATCCAAAGAACACTGGTCTGCTGGCAAATCAGGCACTAACGTAACGCAGGAAAATAGAAGGAATACGCAACATGTTTGTTTTCAACTGCTAAGAATCTTGTGTGGACGCATAACTCTGCTATGGCTGTCAAAAAGGAGATTAGGTTGCGAACTATCATGTTCTTTGATGATGTGCCACGTTCGCTTCATATTTTCCAGTGTCCAGTTTCTTCCCGGTCATCCTACTCTTCGGTGGAGCGATATCTGCGGATGATATGGCCAAGAAGTTTCAATCGCTTCACTTCCAATATTTCAGACAATGGTTATTGATTTTACGTAATGGGCCTTGTGTCAGGGAACCAACCACTTCATGAGCTCTGCTCTACACAAAATCATTTGTGTTGCTTCTATCAATGAAAGTCGTATGGGGTTTTCAAATTTTACGTAATCCTTGTCATTGGAAAACATTCAGAAGATGCTTCGCAGCCTCTGTGGGTTCCAGTGCTTCAAGGCTATAAAGAACGCGGGAAGTAATGACCGAGTTGTAGACAAAGAAGTTCTTTTTGAAACAATTCGCTTTAAAATTGCGGAAACCAGTAGGGTCCAGACCGAACGAAATGGCTTCGAACGAAAGGACGCCCGACTGCTAACCTTTTTCCGGTAGCAGATTAGCTCAAGTCCTAGTCGGCCGCGGTACACAGCGTGTCATGCCATGTGCGAAACCAAGTCCGGTGACCGACACGAAGTTTCTCATCCGTCTTGTTTTCTTGTTGGTTTCGCACCCGGCCTAGCCTCGAAAAAGCTTACGAGCCGCAGGGCTCGCACAGGCAGGATCTCTTGGGGATTTGGGACATCCAAGAGGTCTGCTCGCTCTTCAAGAATCCTCCATTTTGGTAGACTCTTGGTTCTGAATTCAGCCAACGTCGTCCTCAGAGGGAACTCTCTCCCATAGCCTAGGATTTCTCCCAGGCGCGTGAGACTGCTCAAAGCCTCTTTGTCACCAGTAAAAAGCAGATCATCAACATGCCCCACAATGACTCCATGCAAGGCTTTGCTCTCACCTTCGCCACCTTTCCAGCGAAACCACAATGCCCCATCCAGCATGCTGCGACACCAGCCTTCTTGCCGAAGTTCACGGTCAAGACGAAGCCACCATTCACGAGGTGCGTCAGCCAGTCCAAACACGCCCTTCAGGACGCGAGCAACAGCTCCTGCTGGAATTGGGATTGTTGGTCCCTTGGACCCATCAGTTCCCTTGATGTACAAGGTGCGCTTCAGGTATGGATCACCTTTCAAAAAGGCAGCTCGCACGTCAGCACTGCGAAGGAACCAGGAAGGATTGGCACCTGCTATGCAAAACAGAAGATGTTGCGCCAGTCTGCTGCCAGTAGGAGCATCTCTTCGAAGTTCACCTTGTAGATTGGCAGCATCCTTGTACCCTGGCACGATGATCCTCGAGCTTGCTTTCAGTGGAAGTGGGCAGTCAGCTGTGCGCAAACCAGCGTTCTTGTCCGTGAGCACCAGCCTAGGACAAAGCACTCGGTCAAGTTGACCTTTTCTTTCAAGATCTTGAAGAACTGCACGGCTGTCAGCCAAGGAAAGAACTTCAATGGCATTGTTCTCAACCCATTTCTCCCACTGCTCTCTGGTCGCAACACGAAAAGCTTCGCGTGTGGCCTCATCCATCTGCGACCATCGCATCTCTTTGTGTCCTCCTCCAGCTTGAGCTTGAAGAGTCTCGCGAAGTTGAGGTTCCTCGCCCACAGGCCACATCCAGCCTGCCATCTCAAGCACCTCCCATGAGCTCCTCGATGGAAGAGACCATCTGCCATCCCATGTGCCATGGTCATGTTCTTGATGACGACCATTCATCAGATCATCTTGCGCTTCCACCATTGCTCGAAGAAGTGGATGGATGTTCGTGTCTTGCTCAGCCAGAAGAACATCAATCGTCTTGCCACCACTCAACACCAAAGGAACAAAGGTTCTTCTTTTGGCCTCTCGCTCTTCGGCAGCTCCTTCAGACAAGGCACGACGAACTGCACCCTGTGACCTCTCCATTCTCGAAGGCCTGGATTCAGCTGAAGTCGAAGGCTCTGCATTGGCGTGAGCAGTTTGAGGATCAACTGCATTCAACGCAGTCGTGCTTGGCGCTTCTTGAGGTTCTTGTTCACGCAAAGGACTCCCTTCTTCTTCCTCAGGAACAGCTGGCAGTTTCGGTGCTTCTCCTTCTGCCCCATCAGTCTGGGTAGTAGAGCTCTGTCGTGAAAAAGAGGAAGCCATAGGCATAGAGCTCTGAGAAGTGCGTCTCGAAGGAATCAATGAAGAAGCCCGAGAACCAGCCGCTGAAGAAGCTAGCAAAGGAATCATCTCACTTGCTTGAAAAGGAAAAGGATAGGTGACTGCTGGAGGTGTCTTGCCAGCATCACCTGTTCTTGGAACCAAACCGTCATGGCCAGGATGGTCTCCGCCTCCTTGGTCATCTTGGTCCTCTTCATCATTTCCACCACCATCACCGTCTCTATCGACATCAGGTTCGGTGGGATCATAGTCATCATGATCATCATGGTCATCGCCTGGCTCTGCTGGGTCTTCAGGAGGTTCATCAGGTCCTCCAGAAGCTCGGATCACCTCCGAAAGGATTTCCTCCCATTCAGCGGCTGAGAGGCGCTCCAGCGTCGAAGCAGGTCGAAGGTGCTCAATGGCGCACTTGGTCAAGTTGCCTCGGTAAGCGACATAGGCACCAGTTGGAACCTTGCCACCCTCAAGCGCCATGATCATGCCAGGACCATGCCATTGGTTCAACGCCAAACGCTTTCTTTTGGTGCCCCTGCCAGCCATCTTCTGCACCCTGTAGAAGTAGACCGCATCTCCAAGTTGGAATGTTGTCCATGAGGCAGCTCTGCGTGCTCGGCTGAACTCTGCACGGCGTAGAGAAGCACTGTACTTCATCTTGATCATGGCCACTCGCGCACTCTCTTTCATTGCCATCTGCCTCGTAAAAGACGGGATGTTCTCAATCAAGGAATGAGAAGCAAGGCGCAGCCGCAGGTCATTGGGGATCACCTCACCAAGCGTCCTGGGTTGTGCTCCCAGCGCAAACTGAGCTGGCGAAAAACCAGTCTGGCCTACATCAGCATTGCAGGCCTCAACAGCAGCCGCCAAGGCGCCTTGTAGATCATCTCGTCCTTGACAACTGAAGTCTTTGATCAGCTTCCATGGACTTTCCACTGGTATGTGGTACAGGACGATGTCGTGCATGTCCATGCAGGCTTGCATCTTGTCCGAGGTGAATTCTGGGCCACAATCAGAGACAACCACCTTGGGAGCTCCCAAGATGGGGATCCATGAGCTCTGAAAGAACTTCACCACCTCATCCGCAGACTTTGCCTCCATCATCTGTGCACCCTGGTAGCCGGACACGGCGTCGATTCCACGCATGATCCAAAAGGTCGCACCACGCAAGTCTTTCACTGCCACCAAGTCCACATGAACCTGATCACCAAAATGGCGTGGTTTTGGCAAGCTTGCTGGTCGGTGAGAGGCAGGTCGACGATTCTCCATGCAGGTCTCACACTTGAGCTCTTTGGCAGCCTTGATCACCTCAGGGCATGCACCAGCAATGGCTAGGGCTTTAGCCAAGCGAAGTGGAGATCTGTGTCCAGTGTTCTGGAGAACTGCCTGCTTCTGAGCCTTCGTGGGCTGAACTGTGTCTGGAAAAGGAACATCATCCGTCAGGTCAAAGTCCTCCTCATAGGGATCTGCCAGGTCCATAGGAGGCGCATCATCACCCAGCTCAGGTCCAGCTTCAGCTGCATTGGCTTCAAA